AACAGTAAAGAAGATGAAGTGGTTGAGCTACCTCCAAAGAACAATTTACACATTTTTTCTGACCCATTTCTCTTTTCACTTTCTATTCTCGCTTCTGATTTCAGACATGCAACTGAAGATTTGAAGGGAAACAAGGTGGGCGGGGTCAAAAATCATGTCCATTACTCTCCAAGTTGCAAATCTGGTCCTTGGATTAACCCACAGACTTCAAAATCAAGTCATTTGGATGAACCAGCCCCCACATCTCCATCCTCTTTAATCGATTCCAAAACCGGGTTCATGTGTATCTGGATGAACCACCGAACTCTCTCTGTTTCTGGTAATACAGACGTTACCTCAACTTTTTCAATTTCTCCCCTAAATCTCCATAGTGATATATCACCACAAATTATGTCTTCATCTTATGATATTATCGTTCTTACCCTTCCAAATCTACTCTGGAATTTTCTTGTTTAAAAACCATAGTTAGTTACCGATCAATCGCTTTTCGTACTTGGAGTTAGCTCGAATAGTCAAAAATCCACAAAATAAAACAGAAATAAGATCGAGAAAAATGGAGTTAAGTTGAGTAAATACCCAGAAGTTGAAATGGAGGAAGAGGATCTCAGTTGCTTCGTTTAAATCGCCAGTGAAGGAAGCAAAAGAGCTTTGGTTTCTCTTCAACCTCATTTCATAGCTTCGATTTCTCGATCATACTTGAAAAACCAGAAGCAGAGGCGGCGACAGTGGAGGCGGAAGTGGAATTGCCGCCATTAAAGAAGGTGTAATCTTGCTGTGTGGGTATTCTCGTTCCATTTTTTTTCTTCTTCAAATTCTTTTCTGTAGATCTTAAATCCACCGATTGGGGAGGGGGAAAGGGGTATGGTTTAATAATCTGTGAAAAGGTGAAGGAATTTGAGCATTTGTGGAGGATGATACTGCTACTGATTATCAGAGAGAGAAAGATGATATGGGAAAGCCATGAAGAAGAGAGAATAGAGAATGAGGTTGAGGAGGATTGGTGCACATGTCTCGAAGAGAGAGAGAGAGAGTGAGTGAGTGGACCCTTTACATATTAAATTTCATTTTTTCTTTTTAAGTGGTCCCCGGGTATTGAAATGATGAAAATGTCTTTATTTAACGGTAGAAAGCTGACGGAGTTAGGTGGAAGGACTAAACATTAAAAATTTTGAAACCACAGGGGCCATTTTTGATGTTTTTTAAAATTAGGGACCAAATTTTAGATTTCGTGAAACCATAAGGACTATTTTTGAAGTTTTGTCTAGGATTAATATGAAAGTTACGTAAATGGTCCTTCTTTTTTTTTCTTTTTTTTTACAACTTTAACCTTCTGAAAGTATGTTATAGTTATATCCCATATTTTTTAAATATTTAATTTATACCTTCTCCAAATTTATACATATAATCTCTTTTACTAAAAATATATTATTAAAGTTTATATATAAGTTTTAATGATTTATATCGCTAAAAGCATCTTATTATTGTCTACAAATCAGTATCAATATTGTATATAATTAAAATAATATATATCAAATTAATGAATGTAGGATTAGTATTAGAAATGTATAAATAATAAATTCATATATAACTAGTGCATGTGAATTGTTAAATCCAAAGATAATAATATGTAAAATCTACTTGAACAATAATTATGGAAGCAAAAAAAAAAAAAAATTAGCTTTGGGTTCCTATTTTTTCTTTTGTACTCGGATTATCCATAGTTTTGATTTTGTTACGGTGCAAGTCCTTACCTAATAAAAGATGATTATAATACCTTTAATGTTTTATTTTCAGTTAACTTATTGTTGTAAATTTATTTATAATAGAGTAAAACATGTGGGCCACCATCTACCCTAAAAAGGCTTTCTGCCTTCTATCTCTCTGCCTCCCACACACTCAATTCTTCTCTACATTCTTCAAATCCGGCGACCCATCACAAGAAAATTGCCGATGACCACTCTATTCCAGCGACCCCAGGAAGATCAATGTTATGGGTACTGAGGTGGCTTGAAATCTACAACCCATCATCGACGAGGATCACTCTATTTCTGGTATCGTAAAACTGCACCTCTAAAGCCGCCACCATCGGAATCAAAGTCGACATTGAACCTGTAATTCAAGTCCCCGTTGGAGCTATGACCCAATTAACTATCCTCTTCTATCGCCACTATTCATTATCCTCTTCTGCTACCATCACCACCACTCGGAGGCCAACACCACTACTATCGACCATCTCTAAGCAGATCTAGTTCAGGTAGGCGATAAACAAATAGGTATAGCCAAGAGGGAGGAAGAATGGGTAGATGGCGATGGCATCGATTTCTGGTGAAAGAAATGAATGGAGAGAAGCGGCAGAGTGGCTTTGGTCGGCGATCCATGGGTTTTCAGTGGTTCTGATGTCGTCAAAGTTAGAGCTTGCCCTGGAGCTGTGACCTCATCGACATGTGAAAACTTCGTCGGTGACCTCACCTATGGAGCCGGTCACCATCCCCTTTATCTCCTCAATGTATTTGCAATCTACATGTAGAACTCACTTTCGTCTACATCTGGAACCTACAGAACCAAAAGATCGACAAACTGACTTTGTGTTTGATTTCTGGAATGATTTTTAGGAACACATTTTGATTTCAGGTATTGTATATAGATTTTGATTTTGATTTTGGTTTGGTTTTGATTACAGATTTTGATTGTGATTATATAGGTTTTTTTTTTTTTTTTTTTTGGTTCAATTTCTTTTCATTTTGGTGTAGTGACCGGAGATAAGGTTGAATCGGTGCTATCAGATGTCAAATGTGGTGGTTGAACGGGGGTTGCTGGTGACCGGTGGTTGTTGGATGTAGGAGTATGAGTGGATCCCATGTCTATAAATCATTTAATTGATTTCTTTATTTGATACATAATAAACAAATAAGAAAAAAAAAATTGAAAAAAAAATACAAAGGGAAAAATAGTCTTTTTACTTTTTTCAGGGACGAAAAATGAAACGAAAACAAACTATAGGGACGGTCCGAGTGCAAAACAAAAGATAGGGACCAAATGTGAAATTTTTGTAAACCATATGGACGATTTCAATAATTTGTTATAAACTGAATAAAAACAATAGGACAACTATGTGTAAACATAATTTTTCAGAACGGAAAAATCAAATTAGAAAATAAAGATAGCAAGAAAGTAGAAAAAAATAAAAATAAAAATAGATTACAAAGTCATACATGCTAAAGAAGGCCTGTGAACCACCCCATCCAACTTAAATTACACTTATTGTGCATATTCTATATAAAATCACATAAACCGTTAACTATTAAACATATCTTCTCTAATAAATAAATGATTTTTTTGACACTTGTCACATTTTCATTCAATTTGTCAAATTTTGTGGATATTTTGAATTGAATTTTTTTTCCACATGTCATTTTATTAGTTTTTCTATTTTATTAAATTTCACATAATATTTTAATATAATAATTACAATAAATGTAGTAATAAATTGATATCAATTTCATTGATGAACTTATCTTTTAATTTCAAAAATTCTCAAAATTAAAGTTTATTAGTTTCTTTTATTTATTTAAATTATTTGTTTAAATTTAAAATATAAAAAAATATTTCTATTATAATAATTCATTATTTTTTTTATTTTCTTATAAATTCAAAGTTTTCAAATATTTTGACATTTATATTTATTTTTTTTAAATTAACCCATGTAATACATGAGCCTCACAACTTGTAATTAACAAAGATATGAACATCATCAAATGATTCTTAATGCCCCCTCCGTTTAGTAGATTCACACAACCATACTACACCTAAATTTCTAAATTTCTAAGTTTCATTCTTTACACAAATTCTCTAACATATAATTCGTTCCCTAAAAGCAATCAAATCAAATCCACCATTGACATTAATGGTTAAATACCATTTTAAACCTAAATCTCACCATATAAACTAATTGTCATGGTTTTTCTCAATTTGAATGGACATATTACATTAAAACTTGTGTTCTACCCTCTTAACATCATCAACTTATCCATATAATTTCATTTAAAAGGAGCCAATTAATGAATCTCCATTATATAATCTCAAAAACTCAAATAAAACACGTAGATGGATAGAAGTATACATTAGATGATCTTCTTTGATGAAACCTCTCAATTAAGAATTTCTTACAACAAATCAAACCTGAAATATCAAATATAGATGAAGTTAAAGTCCTATGAAAGGAAGACGATTATACATAAAAATCACACACCTTCGATTTCGTTAATTTTGTATGTCTTTTCCTCTACGTGACACCACAACCACCACAATACACGGTGGTAACGATTAACGAACCACCCTCGTGGTGTGTATATAGGAAGGTCTAAGAACTAATCTTAAGCCTTTATCGTTTATAATCTAAGGGCCATGTTTGATGACTTTTCGTTCTTTTATGAGTTTGGTACTTATTAGTTATTACATTTAAAGGGCGTAAATTTAATATTTCTTAGTTTACGACTAAACAATTACATTTTTCATTTGATTTATCTTTTAACACCTTTGTACTTGTCTAAAATATAAAATATATCAAATATCATAAACTTTTATTCTCTACATACAAAGATCAGTATCCATATATATACTCCCAAAATACTTTTACTTGTTAATAATTATCATGTATAAGTTATTAGACTTTGTAAGTTAACCGTATATGACAATAGTTTACTTGTGACTTATGAACGATCAATAAAACTATTCAACCCAACATGTTGATCATTCACATGTGTATGTATAGATGTATATATTGGGTATATTGGGCATTCTCATATAAACAACCAACTACCTAAGCACCTATAATCATTAGAATGTGTACGTTCACCCCCTGTGAACATACACATATTCTAAAGTGATTGTTTAATGTTGTTTAAGCAAGTAATTATAGGAATCATATCTTAAATTTAAACAATAAGTAACTTAAAAGAAGGCTTTTAAATTGTAAGGTGATGTGACTTTGGAATCTCCTTTCCAAAACAGCTCTGCGAATTGGCGGCATGCGGCTTCACTAGGATGAGCAGAGTCGAAGAAGAGATAATCATCAGGATTATCACACAATTCAAACTTTCGTATTCCTCTCTTTCCTCCACAACTATAAAGCCCTCGTAAAGGACCACTACCACAACATCCACTGTCTCCTACCTTGAAACCTGCACATCCATCAAATTCCAACAATTTTTCATAATTATTACTTCATGAATTCAAAGCAATGAGATCAACTCACTACGATTCTACGAGTACCATATTTTGATGGGTTCTTCATCCGTTTGCTAAGTGCAGTTGAGTGATCATAGTTTGCAAACATGAATCCTTCAAATTGTTTTGTCATCTCTTTCATTTTCTTGGATAGTGCTCGATTGTGTAGACTTGCTATGGTGTTAAATTCTTCGTAGCATGTATTGCATGGCTGCTGTGCACGAGCTATAGGCAAACAACCTAATTGCGGGATCATAGTCATTCCAATCTTCCTCCCACCTTTTTCATGGATTTCCTTTTCAAGTTAAGGGGAAAAAAAAAAGAATTGTTTAAATATTGAGGTAATTGATTAGAAACGTAATTCCTGTTTACCTTGAACACATCTGTCAAGTTTCCTATCACCATTTCAACGTACTGCTGATGATGATGACTACTCTGGTTGTTGCGCAGGAGGCTTGCATAGTCGTTGATTCCGCAGCTAAACAAGTAGACAGCGTTGGACAAAAGCTGCTTGGCTTTCACATCACCTAAATTCTTCCTAAAACGTTTCTCTAAATCCGAGAAATACTGTAGCTGTGTTTTGAGATCAATTACCTACATGCATCAAATTGATTTATATATGAAATCGATATATGAGATAATTCAAGTGGTGGATACGAAGAAGGGACACATACGAGTCCTCCATTGGTCTCAACTAATGCACCAGATCCCCCTGACGCAAAATTTGCTCCATACCCAAATTCTTTATTATGGTAAAGGGGGTCAAGATACGCAGGAATGAGAGGCAATCCAGCAAACTCAGCTGTTAACAGAAGGAAAATCAAGAATGATAAGCAAGAAATTGAAAGGAAAAAATAAAAAATAAAAAATTGGCGGTTGTATGAGATGTATATTGTCACCGATAAAATCAGGGATGAGACGGCCATTAGAGAATCTTCCACTTGGCGGATTGAAGTATGACTCGCCATAGGGCCAAAATTTCGCTTGAAAGTTGGGATTAGTGTTTATGTAGTTGTTGTTTCCAGGATCGAAAAGTGAATCACCGAAAATGAAGAGCGCAACATGTTTGTTGAAATGCCCCTGAGCACTCTGGCAATCTGTAATGAGGAGCAACAGACACGAAACAACAAGCCGGAATCCCAAATCGCTTTTAGCAACAGCCATATGTCTGAAGCTGTTCTTCATCCTTGACCTTGAATTGTTAAATTTAGTAAAGTGCAAATTTGTTCTAGTTCGTTGTCGCAGTTGCTTTTGATTTAAAAAGGAACATTTAAAAAAAAAGATTCAGTCTTTATTTCAACGGAATATTGTGGTGGTGTTGTGTGAGATGAGACTAACAACTTTTCATTTTAATCAATTAAATTGTTATAAAAGTAATGAATTATACAGGACATTATAAACATGTTTAATACTAACATCACGAACATGTTTTAAGAGTTGGATTACAAACATAAATAGAACTGAAAATGATAGAGCAAATCTGGCAAGAAAATATATAAACAATCATGTTATCGAATTTCCCTGAAATTCATCTATTATTATAATTAATGTTCTCAATCATGTTTTAATTTATCCAATAAACACATTTTGTCGGTTGAAATCGAGTTCAGGGTGAATTTGGATGTTAGGGTCATTACTATAAAGTGGATATCTTCCCATGAAAATTTCCTACATAAAAAGATATGTTGGAGAACACATCCTTTAGAAGAAAAAAAAACACAATTTAATAATAATTTTAACAAACTAGTGACATAGACAAATTTGTCAAAACTGAATTGGAAAGTACTACGAAATATCAACGGAAATTAATGAAAAATGTTTTTTTTACACTAATCATCCGTCGGATAATAGCAATAAATATTGACCCAAAACATATTTCAAAACCTTATTCCACAGAAATACATCAGAATTTTTTAATTATTGTCACAAGGCCCGGTCAACAGACATACAAAGAGACATACAATGTTGTTGTTGTTGTTGTCGTCGTCGTCGTCGTCATCGTTGTCTTTGTTATTATCATCATTAGTGTTATTTGGTTTTTGTTGTCGTCTTCGTTAGCATCATCATCTTTGTTGTTATATAAATATAGGAAAGAACATGAAATTTCCTAGTTTTCTACAAATATAAGGAAAATATAGAAAGAAATATATACAAAATTTAGAATGGACATCGTTAAAGGTGGGAAACACTTTTTGCGAGATATGGAAGTAAGTTTTTACTTATGACAACTGATGACAAAAGAAAGCGGTAATGCACTAAGTTTGAAATGTACAACTCTGGAAAAGGAAAAAAAAAATAGTATGAAATACTCCAATGCAACCAACACTTCTTACATGAGTTCATTCTTCTCAAAGGTGCACCAAGAACACTCCAAAGCACTTAAAAACACATTCTTTTTGCTCACAAGGCTCAATATAGGGTTAGGGTTTCAAGAGAGGGTGTTGGAGAGGTGGAGGTTGAGAATGAAATGGGTTTGGGAGAGTTAAAAAGCTTAAATAGGGCTCAAACCACGAAAATAAGGTTTGGGCACTAATCGCATACGCGCTGGGTACTCAATTTATGCCCAACGTACGCCCATCGTACATGTTGAGTACGCCTAACTTACTAGGGATTCCCTAGCATGCCCTACGTACTCCTCGTATGTGCAACGTACGCGGCTGACCCAGAAATCGCCTAACTTCAAACGGTCGTAACTTTTTCGTTCCAACTCCGTTTTCGACGTTCTTTATATCCACTGAAAGGTATTGAAGAGCTCTATAATATCATCTAACTATCTTGGACTAAAAACTTCTCGAACAAAAATCCATATTTCATGCAAAAACATGGCCTATGACTTTTCCCTTTTTTACCCTTCGGCCCAAAACACAATTCAAAGGTTAAATCTCTTAACCTACATTACCTCCTTCTACAAGGACTAAACTTTGCTTCTTTAAGGCCCAAATACTTACACAATCGACTTCCGACCTACGGCCCAGAGATGGAAGGAAACAGGATGTTACAACAAATCCAGCTGATATGCAACCTTGCTCACCCGGGCCGAAATCCTAAAAGGTCCAATGAATATGGGGCCCAACTTACCCTTCTTCCGAAAATCGGATGACACCTTTCCAAGGTGACACCTTCAGAAGCACCAAGTCTGCCATATGAAACTCGATATCTGAACGTCGTCGATCTGCATAAATCTTTTGTCGGCTTTGTACGACTCGCAACCCGTTGCGCACCTGATGAATCAACTCAGTAGTCTTGAGTACAACCTCCGTACTACCTATGAATCGATGCCCGACCTCCCCCCAGCAAACTGGGGTCCTGCACCTTCTTTCATACAACATCTCAAATGGTGGTCGTTCAATACTAGCATGGTAACTATTGTTGTAAGAGAACTCGGCAAGTGGAAAGTAAATATCCCAAATCCCTCCAAACAACACACAAGCCCGCAACATATCCTCAAGTGTCTGAATCGTCTGCTCACTTTAGCCATAGACCTGAGGATGGCATGATGTACTAAAATGCAACTGAGTACGTAACTCCTCATGAAACATCCTCCAAACTCTGGAGGTGAAACGAACATCCCGGTCCGAAACCACCGAAACTGGCACTTCGTGCTGAACTACTACCTCTCGGACATAGATGTCCACTAACTTCTCTGTGGATATACTCTCGATAATTGTTATGAAATACGCATTCTTAGTCAATGTATCAACAATGGCCCAGATAGAGTCAACACTACGTGTCGTCCTTGGCAATTTTGTGATGAAATCAATGGTAATCTCTTTCCACTTCATCATGGGAATGGGTAAGGGCTGCATCTTGTCGTGGGGTCTCTAATGCTCGGCCTTGATTTTCCTGCAATCAAGCACCTCTCCACAAACCAAGCTATTTCCCTCTTCATACATGGCCACCAATAATTCAACCTCATATCCATGTACATCGTCGTGGCCTTTGGATGGATAGAAAACTTTGACTTATGCACCTCCTTTAAAACTGTCTGTCTCACCCCAACTGATGCCGAAACCCAGACTTTGTCACACTGAGTCAACAACCCGTGACTGTCTCTGAAAAATAAGGGAACTTGTTCTCTGATCTGCTCGGTCTTCCAGTTTTCCTTTTTCAATCCCTCCACCTGAGCCTTCTTGATCAAATCCATCAAAGGCGATGTGACAGTCATCCTCAAGCAGATATCCCGGATAGATGAGCTCACAGCCTTGCGACTAAAAGCATCGGCCACCACATTAGCCTTCCCAAGGTGGTATATGATCTCGCAATCATAATCCTTTACCACATCTAACCATCTCCGTTGCCGCATATTCAGATTCGGCTAGTCCATAAAATACCTCAAACTTTTGTGGTCAGTATAAATAGTACACCGAACCCCATATAGATAGTGTCTCCAAATCTTGAGGGCAAAAACCACGGCTTCCAACTCCAAATCATGCATAGGGTAGTTCTCCTCATGAGGCTTTTGCTACCTCGAAGCGTAAGCAATCACGTTACCCCTATGTAACCCTAAACCCTTTTATGTTGATTTCGAAATTACCTAGGGTTTCTAGGGTTTTGTTGTTTAATAGAATGTTACATCAATAGTGTTATGTCTTAGATCTTTAGGTTGCATGTACCCTTAAGTGTTAAGGATTTATCCTCGTCAACACATGTAAAACCCATCAGTGGTATCAGAGCGTATGGTTGTCTAATAATTGATTGTATATTGCTTGAACTTGAACAAGGAGGATAAACAGAATCGTCATTCTGTTTCGACACCACGACGTGGTGGTCTGCGTATTCGTATTCTTTTTCTAATTTAACACGACGTGGTAATTGTTTACCACGACATGGTGGACGATCAGATTGCTAAAATCAGATTTTGCTTAAATTCATGAATTGATTAGGATAATTAACTTAGATAATGTTTTTATTATGTAAAACTGAATAATTATCTTAGTGGTTAGATATCCTTATCTTGAATTTATGAATTATCCATAATGTTTTAATTAATTAGATATCCTATATCTTGAACTTGTGGATTATCTTTATAATTTAATTAATCGTTAATTAAAAGATAAATATTAAATCATTATTGGTATAAGTTTAAGTTTAATTAATTAGATATTAATTTCGAAATTTAAATTCAAAACCTTGTATTTTCGAAAAGTTTTAAAATAAACCCTTATATATATGTACTATAAGATTAATTACTATATGTATAAGAATAAGTCAGTCAAGTCGCTAGTATGTCTCATTCACGAAGCCGGTCTATAATAGGGTATAAGGAAACTGCATATAAAATGGCAGTTGAATGGGTGTCCACTCTTACCCACCGCTTCCTTGTGGAGGGTCGTTAGCAGAACGGACTTGATAGGACATAACCTCATTAAAAGTATAATGTTATTAAAGTAACTAAACTAATCTTAAAATCTCATTCTTAGTTACTTTAGGAAAAATGTGAAAAGTATGCTAATACATGAAAACGCACATCATGCTTTATATGTCGTTAGTAGAGCGTCTGTGGTTAACCGGCACACTAAGGACTATAAAAGGATATGATGGGCATATTGAGAATTACCATTGTTGATGGAGTGTGTGTGGTTAACCGGTACATCAATGTGAGATGATAAATGACATCGAAGTTGCCAAGCGGATTTGCATGGTTATTCACATGTCATTTGTGATCCTTGGCATCCCAGTCACAAAAGTGAGAGCATAATGTGAGATTAAACATGTCATTGATTAGATTCAATGAATCTCAAAAGATCTAGGAATTTCATAAGATTAAAATTGGTAATAGCCTTACCTACCTAAAATAGATCTGAACTTGATTACGACATCCCTCTTCAAAGTTCGAATTGAAAATATGGATCCTAGCCTTAATTTAAAGTTTATGGGTTAATAATTAAGGATTGAAAATCAACTAACCTGAATTTTCTTTTTTCCATTATAGATGTCAAGTCAAGACAATTATGATCTTCCTCATTCTTTTGGAAATGGTTTTCATCTATCATCCGAAGATGATCTTCCACTTTCTAATCAAGGTGAAAATGTTTTCTCTGAAATGGTGGAACTGGACATCATGCTTCTTCAACTCCTCCTCCTCCTCCTCTAGTGACTCTCCCCACATCATGTTTTCCTCAAGTTGAAAGATACGAAACTATCCAAGCCCTATTGGCATGTAGACATCATGATGGAAATTCTGTGTGTGCGCATGTTTCTGGAAATGAAATCGTACATTGACAAGTTGGATAGACTGGGTGTCGTTTTTCCAAGGGTGCAAGCCATTGATT